AACCAAACTACAGGAGTTGGACAATACGACATGTTGTATAAACAAAACTACAGGAGTTGGACAATACGACATGTTGTATAAACAAAAAAACAGGAGTTGGACAATACGACATGGAGTATAAACAAAACTACAGGAGATGGACAATACGACATGGAGTATAAACAAAACTACAGGAGTTGGACAATACGACATGTAATATAAACAAAACTACAGGAGTTGGACAATACGACATGTTGTATAAACAAAACATGTGACATTATTACAGATTTAGTTTTGACACATTCATTTATTTATTTCACTGTTTTAATAATAAAATATTGAATTAATTAATATAACAGAAAAATATAACACAATGAAATTTTGATGGCTATTTTTGCTTTATCTTTTTGCTTTAAGCCATTTAATGTTTTCCTTGACAATTTTTTACGTGTTTGTTACGCAAAGACAAAAATATGCCCCCCCCCCCCCCCCCCCCCCCCCCCAGGGGGGGGGGGGGGGGGGGGGGGGGTTTAATCAACAACAACAACAACTACAAAAGACAAGGAACAAGACTAAAAATAATGTTAGGACAAAAAATGTAATTATTGTTGCATTGTTATTTTGCCATTGTTCTTTTGGAGGCACAATAACTCAAAGGGAAATAATGAAGAGAAAGACAGACTCAAATTACCTACCATTTAACACATCACCCTTTTCTATGTTTTTTGTATATAACATTATATCGCATACCGCTTTTCTAAGTTTGATTGAAAAAAATACGCCTCCATCATAAGCTGTTGCATTCGTATGTACCAGTAGGTAGTAATTATACTTACACAAGATGCTGCTGTCACTATACCTAAAGGACTCTTTACATAGCCTAAATTCAGCGGTATCGTAACAGCACCCACTTTAACATTCCGAATATTAGGGTTTTCCGGCTCTGTATTTGGTTGTTGACTTTGGGTGTTGTTGTGATCTTCCATCATTATTTGTTTTCAACGGAATAAATTCTGGAACGAAAAAAGAAAAGGCGGGGGTTAACAATAGCTACGTGTAGATGATTGTGACAAAATGTATATCATGATTCTAATATATATGCTGAATTTGTATTTGTCGTAATATCACAGAAATACAGGGCCCGTAAGCGTGTAAACATTAAAGCCAGTATTCGACTTTAAGTCTCTTCATTTCTTTTCAAACTCATTGACAAAATTATATTTTGACTGGGACTGAGCACAAAATCCATACTTGAGCATGAGAACGGTTTCATACTAATGTATGACGATATGTATTAAGAAAGATAACTCTCGTTCATAACAGAGACATCTCCGCCCCCATCGAACCGAATTACGTGTATCCTCGTGACTGTATTAATACTACCATCCATTGTTTTGAAATTTATCATATACATTAATTAAATGGCAACAAATACGTGATGGTATGTTTCATCTATAATCTTGCATTTACCATACCGTGGCTACACGGTAAATGACAAAGTGGTGGTTTACCCCTGATGCTTATCTGGGGTACATATGATGTTATACCATTCGTTATGCTCCCATATATCACATTATTGTACACCTAAATTAATATTTAGTTTGTTGAATACTTAATTAAAACAAATATTCTTGTAAGTTGACTTACCATTCGGATCCCTGCTTTTTCCGATTGATATATCCTGATCTATTAGTAGTATTGTTTAGTTTACAGTACGGTAACCGCTGATAACACTTTAGATAACGTATTCTAGTAAGATAAAATAGGAGATTCGTCTAGTGTGGGTTATAACTATAACATGCGCTATATAGGAGAATGTCGAATACTGTATACCAAAACAATGTCAATGTGTCACCAACCATTTACATATCGACTATAATATAACAATTTGAGTATTACCAACCATTATGATATTTTACTCAACCATGTTAAAATTCACATATCTGTGTAAACTATTGATAATGTGTTTAAGCTTGACCCGAGCAAAACTTTACACTAGTGATGATAAAGGTTAGTATTATGTCATGATGTCAAGGGAATATCTGGTTACCGTGTTTGTTACATGCTCTATCCGATCTAACATTATTTGTAGAGTTGTGATATCGATTGTTGGTATGGTTTTAACTGTCATGTCATTTCTATTGACGTTAGCTGGTTAGTTTTGTGACCAACGTCATTTTTTTCAAGTTCTTCCGCTAGGAGTCAAATCTGGACTACAAATTACCAGTTTAATTGTAGTGTTATATCGATTGAGCCGTTTAGTTGAGTACAGTGACAAGCTACCTGACAGTTTACCGAAATCCCCCTCCATAGGAAGACCTCGTCATCGAGTCTTCCGAAATACAACATTGCCTGTGAGAGCAACGTCAAGAAAACAATTGTACACAGTACCCAGGTTCCTACGCATCTCATCAAGGTCACCTTTTTACAAGGTGCTCTGCGATCAGGATAAAGGAGAATTATCTGTAGTTGGGTGAATCAGTGAAACGCTAATTGATAAGTACATCGCTGGACAGTTTAAACACCGACAAAAAATATATCAGAGGAGGAACCCAGCTTACCTCTTACGTAAATTCTTTCAGATTGATTAGCCCATACAAATTAAACAATGTTACATTAAATAGGTAGAATTCCAGCAAACATTTTAGTGGCGTGTGGAAGTAAGATTATTAATGTACACCAAGATTGTTTAAAAAACTGTTTTACAGACTCGGTAATCATTCAATCGCACGTGTCGATGGAAAAAGACTTGATGTGGGATGTTCCATCTAATTATCACAGATGAAAAAGTAACAAAAATGGAGAATCACATCGCCTTTGTCATACAGAATTTAATTCTAAAGACGTCATTGACCTCTCTTAATCAGCTTAATTGTATCATGATTTTTAGCTGCAGTATAACAGTTAATAGTGATTACTTAGTTTCCAAACTCTATGAAAAAAGGCGATGAGTTTAACTATCGTTTTACTAGGCCAAACCTGGAACTCAACAAAGCTTACTCTTTGTATAACAATTTTATGGAGGATAGATGCAGTTTACTATAGCTAGAACGTAGAGGTGCTTTAATCTACTCTGGACAGAAGTACTTCAAGGGTCAAGACGGATTATTTCGATAAAAAATCAACTAAAATATAGCGCCGGTATATTGTCGTTCATAATTTAGCTATCGTTGTTGTTGTTGGTCAAAACAATGTAAAGGGAAATACTGTAGATTTAAATGACACATATTAGGCACCATATAAGACAATATTGTTTTCACCTTCCCTTCATATGGAATGTAATAAAACGGCTTAATTCATAATAAGATTGAGTATTCACAAAAAACTGCAGCATTATTGTAAACATGTAACCCTGTACAACCTACCGACCAACCAACCGACCGAAACTTGTTTAAGTATTTAACTTTGATTTGGATAAACGCGTTCTGTTGCTATACTATACACTATAACAAATTTAGTCGGGGTTTTCTACCAGAGAAACTCTTATATACGCTATATAAATGCTACGTTAATAACCATGGCATGACTATCAACTACTGTGAAATAACATATTTTTGTGGGGCCTTAATTTCGTGGCTTCCCTACACAATTAATTAATTCATGGAATACGAGTTTAAATTCAAAATGAGAATTGTTATCAATCACACTTGTAATTGCTTTGTAATTTTATGAATACGTGAATGTAGATTACCCACGAAATCAACGAAATTAATATCCCAACGAAAATGAAATGTCATTATCTGCCATGATACAGGACCTGTTCACAGTGTCTTGGATTTGGCGTGGTATATCTTGACGGGTGCCTGACGTGGTGAAGGGAATGTTTCGTACATATCTTTTGCCTCAATTTAAGGAGGGGTTCCTGATTTGTTTGATTTAGATTTGGTGTCAACTCAATTTATATGGCCCTTAATTGCATGGTGTGTATGTTGTCCTTGAGTGTTGAGATGAGGTATCTTTTTTGACGTTGATTGTTTAAATTTTGGTATATGTTTATCCTCTTGAATGATATGTGTAGTTATTGTGTATCTACACTGTGGTGTAGTTGTATGCCTGTGTCATTATAGTCGATGTTATCGAATCCAAGATAACATAGATTGTAAATTAATATTTATCTTTCTATAAACACATAAAAGCATTGTCACTTAAATAATGATTCGCTAGGACAATGATATTACAGAGAATCTATCTACGGATACATACACATACATATAAATGTGTATTGATTTAGGCAATATAAATATATAAAATATCTATATAAATTTAGATAATTTACTTCATTTAATGAACAATAGATGATTTACAAAGGGAAAAAAGTCCAATATTTCGGCCTCCTGGCCTTCTTCATCACAACCTAGTTCGTAGGTCGTCTCAAAGCGGTTCATAAATTATTATCCGTGTTTATAGGCCCTTTGCAACCAGCCAATATCGTTCTCAACTCCCTGGGGAGCATACAGCCGGGGCTGCCATTTCGGCGCTGACAGCTAGAATTCTACAATTCTAGCACTGCCAAACCACGTGCTCATTTACAGCTGTGTAGACTGGAACAAGTCAATGGTTGTTTTAAGTAACGTCAATCTTGCTTATTCGGAGGTACACATGACGTAATAAAAGCAGGCCGTCATAAATGACTTCGTGCTATTTTTGACATCATGTAGTCAACGAGTCATTGTGCGTGACGTCATACATTTGTACATCATTTCCTGTAACTCCAAATAAGCAAGATGGACGTTACTTGAAAGAACCGTTGACTTTCGCCATTGAAGAAGGCAAGGAGACCGAAATATTGGGACTTAGAGTGACATTTTTTTGTTCGGTATTTTTATTTCATTTAGATTCAAGATGATATCCATCGATCTTGTCTTCCTTGTTCGTGTGACATAGGTCGAACGTCACTGTACCCAAATCGGGACACTTTTTAGATAAATATCAATGTTCTTTATACCATACAATCAGTTTAAAAATAGATACTATCCACCTTTCATTTCTATTACAAGTTGATATTTCGGGTGCGTGGTTCCATAAATAAAACGCAAAATACCATCAGGGTTACGTAGGCTCTTGAACCGGCGTAACTGTACCCTGAAAGGGACATTTCGGTATTTTGGCTAATATTTGGGGATAAACGATCAATATAAGCAGAAAAGAAGTCATATTTCAAATATTTTAGAGTCAAACAAGGTTATGATTAAATTTCATATTCCATGTAAGGATAGACAGCAGACAATAAATCTGACATACAGTAAACTTGTCATACAAGTATTATCAAATGAAAACTGTATACATAAAAGTACTTCTTTGCATTGAATGACAGTTTCTTGGGCCGTTTTCCAATAAGTGTCCCGTTTTGGTACTGTCCCGATTTGGGTACAGTGACGGTAATGTCTGTCTTTATACACGAACAGAGAAGATATATAGACACAGCGTTTATATATTTAAAGTGATAGTAATCATTACCTTATTTTTAATAAAAAAAAAAAGACTTGATTGAAGTCAATATTACTACCCATGCTAAACCGTTAGTCTTGTCCTATTGTTAAGCATATTCTATGTAATTGCCAGCTAAATCAATTAAATGCTTTACCTCTGATGAACTTTCCAGACTATTTAGAGCTACATATTGTATGGTATATTTACACAAATGACCCAGTGACCCGACTTATCCAACATAGATATTTGTCGGACCATCATTTCTATCTGATGGGGTAACTGGTCGAGTATTAGATAATTAAGTATTTATACCATCGCGTGTTTACTTCATCAAATTATTAAACGTTTTATATGTATATTAAAATACATATCAACCTTCAAAAACTCTCAAACTAATATATTTTGTTATAAAATTTCATAACTAAGGAAGTGTTGTGTCAACATAACCTAGATCATTTGAATATAAACATGCATTGATTAAATGCAGGTTACCATAATGATATCAAATGTACAATATTTACAACGCTAAATCTAGTACTAACGTAAGGTACATAAATACCATCTGTATACATTTATATGACCAATAGGGACGGTTTACTGCAAAGCTTAAAGACAAACGGGGCGAATTCTCTTTCTATAGCATGACTTTTCCCTTTCTTGATAGCAACAATCCTGCTTCCGTGTTTACATGTCGCACTTGATTCGGTACTCAAGAGCTTGCTTCACATATCACGACATGCGTATAAGATGTCGACTGCTGACGGACAAACTTACAAAACAGGATTTTAAAAGATGTAGGTTAATGAAAACAATAGACCAGTTTTATTGTTAGCCATCAGAATTTTGCAGAGAAATATGCTATTTCTTTGTGTGATATGAAGTTCAATTTTTTTTTTATTAGGTTCATTAGAGTGTCTTGTGGTTTTGTAGTTACAAATGTACTACCCGATATTCGACTTTCGACTTAAAGTTACATGGCGGGCGCCATAGATGAAGCAGAAGACGTTTACCCTTCCGGAACACCTGGCCTTATTTTCCTTGTTCTTTTTCATCGGTCTCAATGTAAATCCATCCAATGTTAATATTTTGCCAAAGATTTATGAGTTCGAATAATATTTTTTGTTGAAAATTCGAAATTCTTTTGCTGTGTTTTAAATGGAAAACTACAGATAAAAATCAATTACTCAAAATGCTAATTAGGAACCCGTTTGTCGATTCAGCCAAATGAAGTAAGCATTTTGCTGCATCATTTCCTAGCCATTTCGTTCATTTAGGACATATCAGCGAACACAAGTTGTTTAACCAACTGTCTAAATGTCTACGTTTGTCTTATAGACGAGTCGGGTACAGAAAGTTAGAAGCTTATACAATTGATTAATTATTAGCCGCAGTAGCTTTGAAATCATCAAGAAAATGCTGAATTTGTAACAAATAAAGCAATGCGTCTCAATTGAAGTGTTCCTCGTGTTTACATTGGCGGTCAGGTCCTAGGGACGTCACTTTTCTAAAAATATTTTGTTAGAGGTGTCAATTAAATAAGTCTGCTGAACTAATTATCAAAGATATTTAGGAATATGATAAAAGAAATAAGTCAACATTTTCAATATCTCTCATGCGAGCCGTCACCATGCGATGTTTTACAATAGGCGAGTATGCAGCCGAAAACTGCTGTATTATACAAAATATACACATGTATTGTAATTTATGTTTTGCACTTGAGTGAATGGCATAATTAACATAAATGAGCTAAATTTATGAATAGCTATCGATATAACATTTTAACTATAACTAAGCCAAAGGGGATGGGTAGAAGGACACTAATATCAAATGTAAACATTCTTATTCAAAACAATGATATTTCACAATATATTTAAAATATTTAAAGTATCTGCATGCTTTCAATAACAACAGAATTGTATACATACTTCTATAGATAAATTGTCTTAGTAAATATGAAATCGCACTAGCGCTTCGTCCTCGATAACAGCATCCTTACATCTTACTTGAAATATGCATCTCATTGTACAAGGTAATAGGTCACCTATATATTGACACTTTGAGCCCGTTCTAGCCCGCGCTATCACCGTTATCGCTAGTGCTACACCAGTACCAAACACCGGCCAGATTTTGACCGTGCGTTGATATAGATGTACTGTACCAATCAGCCCATTCATTACCTCTGTCACACGCGGACCCTAAGACGTGTGCAGGGACTCCGAGAGGCTCAGCCGTTGTAGACCACACTTTTTTACAACACAAGATATTTAAGTATTGTATTAAGAGATATTATTCCATTGAGGTGGTGCATACGATATCGGAACTACGCCATTGTAATTAAGTTTAAAACAAGCTAAAATAATAGAAATAAACATTCCTGTGTAAAATGAACGGACTACAAAAATCGGGTTATCTACAGGTGAAGCAACCATCAAATATAAAGGGACGCAAGCTCAAGGTAAGCTTACCGAATACAGTTTTACTTTCATGTTTTTTCACATGATAGTATTGGTTCTGATGTGTCTGTATATGGGAGTCCTTGTACATTTTGTTATATTTCAAATTAATTTTGTTAAGTTGGTTAGAGGATATTGCATTAAAGAACAAAGAAGCTTACAGAAGAAAGTATCCATTATGTTGTTATGAATAAGGTATTCAAATGTTTTTCTCGGCAATAGTTGTGTTATGATGATTAATTTACATAGTAAATGTCCTAATGTTTCATTTACTAATGTACTGTTATAGATATAATTAAGGTATGTATATGTCCACCTATATTGATAATGCCACTTTATATAAAAATATGAATATATCATCATATACTACCAGTTATATTAATAATACATGTGTGCTATTGGTTGGTGAAAATAAACGAAATCTAAATAAAGTATGTTAAACACTTATTTAATAGTTCATCAAGATGTAAAGGTGTCATGCATGTTCTATTTCATTTTATTTCTTATTCTTACATTTTGATATCAACATAAAAATCACAAAATAATGTGAACTAGCATACATGATTTTTATTTTAGCAATAGTTATGTTAAAGATTATGTCATTAATTTGTCGTTAACATAAATTAAAAGTGTGGATTTCACATGCTAGCTGCGATACAGAATTCAAAATATCACTTTAAACGTCACAAAATAGAAGTGTATTCTGAAAGAATAGACTCATATTTCATTAAGACAGTTATCATTAAAAGTCCTATAATTGTTAACTGTATAGCACACTCACCTTATAATGGTTGTTTGTCTGCAATAGTGTAAAAAATTAAGGGGATGCAGTTGATTTTAAGGATTTTATTTTAAAAAGTGTATAATTGTTTACGTATATAGGTGTTTTTCGAAGATGAAGTTGTTTTTTAAACAATAGAACTGTGTAAAAAATTAAGGGAATGCAGTTGATTTTAAGGATTTTATTTTAAAAAGTGTTTAATTGTTTATGTATATAGGTGTTTTTCGAAGATGAAGTTGTTTTTTAAACAATAGAACTACAAATAAGCCAACATTTAGCAAGTGTTCTTCTTTGTTATTGTTTGACGTCACAATTGTCATGACGTAATCACCATACGTCAAAGTTATGATCTCATGAGTTTAAACAAGATGTGTCTTGTTTATACAATGAACATATGTGATTAAATCTAACATCAGACACCATGTACCAATGTTTCAATTCCTCATACTAGGTACGTCAATACCTATGTTTATTGAATACTATAATTGTGTTTCTACAATCATTTAGGTATGTTGACACAAACATTGGTAAATAAAACCCTTAAAACATAGTAAGTTCAAACATTTATCTTTGAACGTAAATACTCAAAACAAGAATGACGCGTTAGTAAGCATGTAGAATTACAATGATATAACAGATATCTACGATAATGAAATAAAGTACATAATTACAGACGTTTGATGACGATATGTTGAGACGCAGCCCTTTAGAAGTTTATACATATGGTGATAAAGAGAGGTCAATAAATCAAGATGTAGGCTGTGGGTATTACTGATGTACTTACCAGATAGCCGGCTTGGTGTAAATGACTCCCGAACTTCTCAGTATAAGTACGGCAGTACTGGGATAGTTACACACATTCATATGACTACCCGATTGTCGTATGACTCATTGTTACGACGGGTACTTAGATCATTTTCAAAGTTAATATTCCTTTATGTGGGTACGTAGATTGTGTCATCAAAGATGAGAGCGATGGGATGTATGCTTGTCGAGTTTTTCCATCATTATGGAATTTTGAAATCTCTTGTACTTTTCCCGCATAAGATCGAATATTTCAAATTGATAGAATTCGTCTTATAATAAAAGAGGAAAAAATAATATCGAATTTTAAACATAACCTAGTTAGAACTCTAATCTGATAAACATGGAAGAAAATATAATCAAAGGAACTATTTACATGAACTATTTAGAAAAAGGACAAGGAGACCAAGACCACGTGTACCGGAAGGCATAGCGTGGTTTGTTTCTGGTAAACAGTCGCTTTGTGAATCTACTTTCATTTTCTAAATGTTAGAGCTAGGGTTGTAACGACGTTAACACATAACATGCTCATGAGTATAATAAAAATAAGTCGATATTGATATGCACAATGCAATATCATATTTCCTAGGGAGATCATGATGACGACAAAACCAATTACACATTTTCTAATTAAGTTACAGTAGTCATTAACAGTCAATGTAAGCTTAAAAACGGATACTATATCCTCTATGTTTCATAACAGCAAAACATATTCGAACTAAACTAAACAGTGCAAAAAGGTAGGAAATTGGAAAAGAGAAGATATGAAAATTAAAGTCACACAAGGGGAACATATAGATAGAAAGGAAAGAAACAGAAAGGAGAAAGGATAGAAGCAGAAAGGATAGAAACAGAAAAGATAACAATACAAGTCTCAGCTGTTGAATAATCAATGTTTCCCAAGCATATGATAGAGAAGATTATCTCGGATGGCAGAAGGTTCCACATTAGTCGCCTTCTACTATCATACAGTTCTTTGATATCGCCAACCATGCACATGTAATTTCTACCCTAATGAGATATTTGATACTGATTTAACTAGATGGCGGATGTCAATGTCACAATATTTAGTATCAAATGTCAAGGTTATGTATTCAACAAAAAATAAAATATGTCATTACATAACACTTACAATATGGTCAGAAATAGCACATCACATCATGACAATGACGTCAGAATGTTATAATGAAAAACAAAATAATTGTTTATGAAACGCATGTGATATCAATTAGAGAGAACTGGATAAGGGGTACCCCTGTAATGGTGCATGTCGTTTCCTCAATGTAACTGGATATATCAGACTAGGATAAGGACAAGGATGTGTATCCCTCTACCGTCACACTCAAACATTATCTTAATTCTCTCTACACGTATCATTTATATAAGACGATATGCTCATAATTGAAACCTTTGTTATCAACAGATTGTGAGCTAATGCAGTGGTTACCCATAGAATATACAAAACTGTCACGTACTATATATATTTAGTATATATCAACTATCTCAAATGGTCATGTTACGGAAAACACGCTGTTCTTTTTATATTTCATTGTTGTTTTATGTATGGTATATTAAGCCATTGTCTGGGTCCTTTATACAAAAATAACAGAGCGGATTGCTCCAAAATATCGGCTTAATGTTGTCCAAACTGTCGACATCACTGTAAACATTGATATTTTGGAGGACACTTTATTTTTCTGTGATATGATGGGATACATCGTGATAAGTGCCACATGTGTTAAAGATGTTTTTCTCCAGATTTTTTTCATTCTGTTTTTTTGTATATGCTTACATAATTTCTGTCTCATATCGGCTACGAGTTTGGATTTCTTGTGTTATGCATTAGAGCTGTTTTATTATAATTTACTGAGAAGAGAAAGGTTATAATATACATGTTAGTGTAAGAGTGTCCTTCAAGTCAGGATATTAATTGCGATCATTTAACCATTCATAAAACAGCAAGGTTATGCATGTACACTGATTTGTGTTTTATCATACAATGGGACCAAAGTACACAGAGCTTGATGGTGGTCGTATCGTAATATACATATAAAGTGCTATCTAAACCACTTACTGATAACGTGATAACACATCTACGTCAGCGGAGATAGATCAGGCAGTTCCTGCTACATAGGGACCACACAATACAGTTTATCATATTGTTCAAACGAAAACCTTTGTAGTCATTTGCTATTTTTTCTGGTTGTTTAAATAATTTCCATTTCTAAAGTTTTTCTCATATAAGATTTTGTCACTTTAAAAATAAAAGTATTTGTTATTATTTATCATCATTTATTCATATATAAATGAAGTTCAATAGGATTAAACGTTTGACAAAATAAAAGTGTTATATTTGTAAAAACAGCACAATGCATGGTTCATGAACCACTTACTCTTTAATACATTATATCAATCAGCTCAATCGAATCATTTCCATACAAACGTTGGAAAGGGTTTGATATAGCTTGGAAATAAAACGTATGTTTAATCCGTATCTTCAGTAAACTGAATAATCTCATTTATACGTAAATTTATACTGTATACATTTCACGTAACGTGAGTTTAAATTGTATTTTAAGATCGGAGTATTTATGCTTCAGACATGGAAAACGAAATGGGGTATTTTGCACAAGATGAGCAACATCTCCGAAGGGACATTTGCTGCCAAATTAGACCTATACCCTGACGAGATCTCCGCGGCCACAGTATCACAGGACAAACAAACCTATATATTTGAAAATGTCTCGTGTATCCAGTCTGCCAATTCGAAGACCCACAAATGTGCGTTTGAGATTGTTGAGACATACCCACTGATATGTCTTGCATCCTTGATCGACGAAGAAACACTGGAATGGGCCAAAGCTTTCCAGTACATTTTCTGGCCACCTCCGGGTCCAGATGGTGAAGGTAGGTAAGCATACTTGTGGTCAGCTTGCGTCCTGCGTTGCTCGTTCCTTGAACAATACGTCTTAACGATATTATTAATGTAAAAGTTACAGCATCCTAAAAATCGGTTTCTGTATTAAGTTTTATCAGCCACCCAATTATTACTCTTTGTTTGAAAGTTTAAGTACATCATGTACTTTGTACAAATCGGACTTTTGTTGTTGAATTTGATATACCACATAATGAATCTTTGCAGTCATTACAAACCAAATTTGTTGTGCGAGCTTTAGGATTCATTGCTTTTTAAAATGTAGATGAAATTGTTAACACGAGGAAATTCTATTGTAGATTTGTTCCAAGTAATAATTGAAGAGAACGAGGACTCCAGGAAATACTCCCTAAGCGGTGAATACTGGATGCTCCTTTCGCCACAGGAACTAAAAATCAAGGCAATGTCAAAGGCTCAAATGTTGTCATGGAAACTCAGCAATCTGAAAAGATTTAACCTGGATCAAAGCAACTCCAAAATACTCATCATAGAATCAGGAGCGTAAGTATATAATCTAGACATATGACGATATCAAATGTTCATGGATGTATAGCCTGATGTTCAGAAGTAATTATACACACAATATATTCAAACCATAACATTTGCTGCACTTTCAACTGACTATATGAAATATTTTACATACATGTTTGATTATAACGATTACGGTGAACTAGTAACAGTAGCCTGCGTTGCAACTATCATCGCGAATATATACGACTATCATATACTATAGCACTTATCAATTTTTGCAATCATGTAATGCAATCTCCGCCAATTAGAGAAAATATCGTTCCCGCAAAAATTACCGACTGCACGGTAAAATGTCTATTTAAATGTATTCCATATTTACTATATTATACACTTATGGTTAAAGCCGAACAAAATCCTAGAATAAAAAAAGGCAGATTTGTACGTTCCGTTTCTTTTCTTACAGGAAGTCAGATTTTGGTGAGGCCAAGTTTATGTTCCGGTCAAGCAATGTTCGCGAAATATTCCAATGCATTAGAAAAAACATAGCACGCGCTGTCGAGCAGCGACAACGGAAACTATCGACAGACTCTCTAGAATGGCGCGGGAGAGCATCTTCAGCTTCCAACAGTGAGAAGGGTTATAAGATGCTTTTAGAGAGAAGCAGAGAAAATCTGAATGTATCCAGCGACTCCATTGACAGCATAAGTGGGACTTCAGGTAGTACAAAACAGAGGACTAAAAGTCAAGATAGTTTACATAATGTCGGTTCACTTGAAACCTTTCCTCCACCTAAACCCCCGCGCTTGCCACCTAAAGCAGATCAAATTGATGGCAATCAGTTATCAAGTTGTTATGACGAACTTTCCCTCCCTTCAGCAGCAAAAGTTGATGCTAAGAAGGAATCACCTTCAATCGTCTCTACTGAGGTCATTCATGATAAGGAGAATCAGCGGTTTGTAGAGGTAAACCACGACAAGTATGGCTACAGTCACATCCCGTGCCAGATACCTCCAGAGTCTCGGATCAGTGTTGTGCGTTCCGTGTCCGGATATGATGACGTCGATTTAAGCCCGACCTCAGAAAAAGGTAGAACGATTCCAAACCGTTTAGATCATAACCAAGATCTTAGGTCTGGTTCAGTCAAATCTAATGACTCAGGTTTTGTAGCGTCTCCAGATGTCGAGACTTCGGGTTCTACGGTACGACAGACAGCCACCGGCTTAAAAGCCAATCACAAAAAGAACGGCTCGTTTGACAGCGCTATATATACGTCATCTGGCGTGGAGTCGATCAGTGCAGCGGTAAATGACGTGCTTATCGTCACCGAACTATCGACAGGCAACAAAACTTACGATAACATTGACTGTTCGGTCCCAGTCGACCATAGTGAGATATATAGCGATATACATTCTCATTCCAAACATGACACTCATATAAACGAAGAGACAGAGACACAATACGAGGACACACATATAAACGAAGAAACAGAGACACAATACGAGGACCTTGAAAAGTACCGAAAAGATCTAAGCAAGTATCTCGGCATGGATCCTCGAGTGAACCCAAAAGACGTACCGCCTTCTTTGCCAGACCGACCCACTTCGCTACCGATTCGGCGGAAGGAGTTCAAGAAAAAGACCAAAAAGTCGAAATCTAGCAGAAAAGTTACATTTTCGCGTTTTCTAAAAGAACGTAACAGTGCACATAGTCGAACTGCATCCGTAACGTCGACATCTTCATCGTCATCTGTGTCTGATGGCGAAGAAGAATCGTCCATTCCGAAGATACCAACATTCCAAATGTTAAAACACATGCAGAAGAACACTCTTTATGAACAGACTAGCGTTCACGACGACAAAAACAATATGTTGACAGTTTCTACAACGAACAACCCAGATAATGTCCCACATAGACACTCTTCGGATCCAGTGCTTATGGGGGCGTCTCAAAGCCTTACAAACACACAAAGTGCAGGCTATGTTGAGGTCAAAAACGAACCCAAAAGGACAGTTTCTTTTGACTTATTAACGGGAGAACTTTTGGAAGATTCCGTCGTTACAACGAATGATCACACAGTGTCACGTATACTATCGCCGACCTCCACAGATACTCCTAACTTTCCTCCTGTTGTTGAAAAGCTAGTCGCCATCGACCTGCCAGAGAACAAATCGACTGAAATAGTAATGGACAGCGCTACAGGGACACAAGATCAGCTGATTTTCCGTGCAAAGCCTGATGGCAACTTTGTATGGGACCCATTTCCAAATATGACAAAACCTGACCGACCACTGATAGACTTTGACAGTAATCAAGATTTGACTTTTTCTTCCGAGAACAAAACTGTTTTGTCACCAGTTACATTAGACACAAATTGCTATGAAATCATGGTATCGCCAAGTGAAGTCAACAATTTTGGCAATCTCGATTCGCTTGACTTATCAAGCATCAAACCAGAGAGTAGCCCAATCGGTACATCAACACCAAATGCAATGTCTGTAGACAACATGGACCCATTCAATATTTTCAGCCAGGATACTTCCCCGTTGAACGTGGCTCACAGTAGGAGTAATTCTTTCGATGTTGATGCTGACATTAGTGTCAATAAGCCAAATGACGTCAGCGAGGAGTCTACGTACATGGACATGTCAAGGGTCACACCGCCGGTCGAGGATGTGTACGTCGCGCCTTCAATGGTATGACGTCGACCAATAAGATTTTGTAACATCTTATCGTACAGCTAAACGCATATTCGTACAAACGTAAAAATGACTACAGATTGTACTAGACCTTATAGCATTGTCGTTTGTGTAAGCTTGTGCACACAAGTAAGATAATAAGATCAAGTTAATCGATAGATTCATTAAAACAAGTTTGGGCAAACATGCGGACAATACAAAATTACTGAAATTAAAGATCGCTGGTAAAACTGGCAGTGATGTTTAGGGTTTCGACGAAATTCCCATTCAAATCTTGAAAACGTTCGAACTCTTCGGGATTTTATTTAAAAAATACATTTTATTCTTTCATATGTATTGGTTGTGTAATCAATACAAATCGTATCTCAATGCCATAATATTGCCATGTTAAGAATTATCATGCAAATGTGTTATCTCTTGAAAAATGTTGACGTATATGTAATAATTTGCATTATAGTATATACAAATAAAATTTCAAATGAAATTGTATTCAAAGTATAACCAGCTTGTTTTATTAACTTGGAAAGGACCATCTAACCGAACACCTTCTTTGTACATAGTAAACCTAATATTTAACCTGCAATTCGTTAACCAATTAATAATCCTTTACTCAACAAACCTGAATTGTACATTGAAAAACCAAATATTAGCCATGTACTTAGTAAATCTAATACTTCTTTGCTAAGTAACCCTTCAGTTTTGCCCTGAACTAAGTAAACTAACCTCACACTAATATTGTCCTTGCTAAAAACTAACCCTTTATAGAGAAAAATCTAAAACTAACCCAATATTAACTAAATATAACACGTATTGTTTACTTTGTAAATCTTACACCCACCCTATTCTTTGTTATTTTTGGCATCTTGCTCTTATTTATCACTAACCCATGACTTTCTAAGGACTAAGTACACCTAACACTAAACTTGTACTTAGTTTTTTAACAATAACCCTGTTCTTAGAAAACCTTTATTCTACACCTCACAATAGCCCAGTCCTTCAAATGCATAACACTAACCCTGCAGTTGCCATACATAACACTTAACCTATAGTTACTAAACATAAAACTTTCCCTGTAGATACTTAACATAACACTAATCATGTAGTTTGTTTTGTTTTTTGTTTCGTTTTTAAATTGTTTAACGGCCCATTGACAATGCGAGTCATTTAGGGCCAACAACACTGTAAAAAGAGACATTCACGAAAATAAACACATCAAAACAAAACTTAATAGCTTAAAATATGTAACGGATTAAAGAAAAACATATATATATATCGCACAAATTGGGTGCAAATTATATCATATTTTAACTCATATTGATCAATAGAGTGTAAAGTCGAATATTAATTGCACAGAAACTGTATCGAATAATCTTTTCATAGACTGTACATCATAAAATCTATCACGTATTTGTTTGAAATCAGCACATTCAATCATAAAGTGTTTGACTGTAAATGGTTGATCGCATGCATGACAATAAGGCTGGTCTTCCTTCCTCAAAATGTAGGACAATTTCCTCTCTGCAGTCTGCTCTACTTGTTGCACATGAACCCACATTAGGTTGAATTTCAAATAACTTGCTGTTTAATTATTCAGACCATTTAGTTTGCCGATTCGTTTCAATAAAATTTGCTATACAAGGTTTAAAATCAGAAAAAAGGCAGTTTAATATCTTTTGGTTGTAGGTTAAGTGTAGTTACTATACATAAAACTAATCCTGTAGTTACTTAATATACCACTAGACCTAAAGCTACCTGACATAACACTCACCCTGTAGTTACTTAACATAACGCTAACCCTGTAGTTACTTAACATAACAATAACCCTGTAGTTACTATACATAACACTAATTCTGTAGTTACTATACATAACACTAATTCTGTAGTTACTTAATATACCACTAGACCTAAAGCTACTTGACATAACACTAACCCTGTAGTTACTTAACATGACACTTACCCTTACTAAACTCGTTATCCTTACACTATCCTTAAGTTAACCTAAGTAACAAACCCGTACATAGTTAACCATACAATAACCCCATACTTTGTTACGTTTTGGTGTCAACAAAACCATTACAACACGATAGACAACGAACATAACATAAGCAAGTTTTATTGCCTGAAGTTACAATCATAAGAAAATCAAATACAGCCTTTTATCATGATACGTGACATCACATTTCTTTTTACAAACAGAAATGACTTTCATAATCTGTTCGTTCAGTTAAGACATTTATACATCTGAAAAACAAAAACAGTTGAACTCGAATTCGTTAAATTTCTTTGCTTGGTGGATATTGTCGTATACAATTACAACACACCGCCGACGCACCCAAAAGATAACCTTTGAAATGTGAAATGTATGAAACAGTAGTGTATATATATATAATCATTTGCGTGAAAATATCGTTGGACATTAATCAAACTGAGTTTAGTGTTTCCTCTTCAATGCAATGATTTCTACTCTTGAGGTCTCGTTGTAATTTTGATCGAAGAGAAAACAATACAATATGCTCTGTCAACGAAGGAGGTATACGAATTTCTCATAAAGTATTCATTTATCATTACAACCAGCATAAATGAGCTAAAACACACATACTTTAAATCCAAGAGCGATTAGACTTTATTTTCAATATTACAAAAACGGAATTTTATAGTTTTTCTTATTAAGTTAAAGAAATAATTTTGTCAGAAAAGAAATACATATCACTATGATAACGGTAGCAACGTTATCGATAGGAAAACATTTTACGGGAAATTGTAAATATCTCTGGTTATCATAAAAGTATTTTAACAACATTAAAATGCGCTCATTCAATCAACAACATCAACCATTTGGCAAATAACAGTACTAACAGATAATAACAAAAAAGTCACATTAAAATTTGACAAGGCATGTTAACTTACTTCAGTGTTAAACCTACTCCCTATCTTTGGTTTATCATCCAAACATCTTATCGTCTAAGGTATTCTGGAATTCCTTATTGTATTCAAACTGGGGGGGGGGGGGGGAATTAATGCACGCTATGAATCTAAAACTACTAGTATTATTTGTTTGAATATTAACGGTTACTTTTTGTATAATTTGGTACTTTACAAAATACAAATTTCATCAATAATTTCCACACTTTTAACCAGTATTTTCAAATTTGTTCTATGATATTATCATGCCGGTCTCGAACAGAGTACATATTAATATGGTAGACAAATGTTTTGTATGTTGGATGCAATACATAAGGGGATAAAGCAAATTTGTCACAATCAAAGGATCGAGCGTTCAAATTCTGTTTACCATTCATATGATCTCCACCATGTGTATTTACATGAGCTATGCGCACCCGACTGTTGATCACTGACAGGATAATGATTAAGAAGCAAGTTAACAAGATTGTCTCGCCGTAGGACTTTTTTTTATGAATTCTCTTGCTTCATGTTTCTTTACAGGCATTGCCAACAGCTTCAATCAAACAATGGAGAATAAGCCTATTGTTTTCCGTTTGACGATTCAATAAGCATAGAATTATAAGTGGTACCTATATGTACAGATTATCATCCTGTGTGATTCTTTGGAGATATGTTGTCACACCAAGTCCTTGCACAATTACCTAATGTCTTGGGCTCGTTCTTTGGCGAGTACTCTATGGACTTTCGTCACAATTCTACAAATCATATCCAATTTTATTTACTCTAGTTAAGTTGTTCCACAAAGTCTCTCGAAACTAGATCGAATTTGGAAATATTTATACAACAAAAACATTTTATCTTAAAGACGTCGTTCGCTTATATTACTACCAATATATATATATTTTTTTATCTTCAAATATTTTGTTTCTTTTAGCAAGATAGAGATTTTTCACTGAAATGCAGGTTTTTTTCCACATACAAATTTATATTTATATATTATTTTTTATATAATGCGAGTAATAAATACGATACACTTTATGAAATCCTACCGAACGTTTATGCAGTAGTCGTTCACGAGTCCACAAGTTTATGCACAATCCGGATTACCTATGTTTATACTTTCACCACAGTTCCATTACAATAAAGAGCAAATAATGATATAAACGTGGTTTCCTACCAGCAATAGTGTTAATGTTAAATCTATATTAACTGCACGACTTGTAGTGACACAATAACTATTCGTGTATAGAAACTATAACACGTAACACGTCTGTTCGAATACCTCATTGTTCAGCAAGTCATCAACGTTTCTAAAATCCACACCTAACTAAACTTTTGATATGTTACGTCCTATGGACATACAGTAACACCATTTCAAAAAATGTAATACCAGTCAAAAATTGTTTTCGCATCTGTAACTGCCATCAAAAGTAACACAAACTAAAACTCAGAGGAGGGTCGACTTATATGATGCCATATATACCTTTTGTTCGAATTAAACCACAGGACATATTACTATTGCCTATTCTATAGTTTTTTTATTCGAAATAACTGCTGTCGTTTCAGTCTATAATGCTTTATATCCTATTGGAATGTGCATGTAGGAGTATTTTGTACGACCTACTCTTTTCTATCCCATTGGTATACATGTAGAGTATCAAGTACTACCTACTCTTTTCTATCCCATTGGTATACATGTAGAGTGTTTAGTACTACCTACTCTTTTCTATCCCTTTGGTATACATGTAGAGTATTTAGTACTAACTACTCTTTTTATCCCATTAGTATACATGTAGGGTATTTAGAACTACCTAACAGTTACTCTTTTTTATCCCATTGGTATACATGTAGAGTATTTAGTACTACCTACTTTTTTCTATCCCATTGGTATACATGTAGAGTGTCTAGTACTACCTATTCTTTTCTATCCCATTGGTATACATGTAGAATATTTAGTACTACCTACTCTTTTCTATCCCATTGGTATACAGGTAGAGTATTTAGTACTACTTACTCTTTTTAACCCATTGGTATACATGTAGAGTATTTAGTATTACCTACTCTTTTCTATCCCATTGGTATACAGGTAGAGTATTTAGTACTACTTACTCTTTTTATCCCATTGGTATACATGTAGAGTATTTGGTACTACCTACTCTTTTCTATCCCATTGGTGTACATGTAGAGTGTTTAGTACTACCTACTCTTTTTTATCCCATTGGTATACATGTAGAGTATTTAGTCCTACTTACTCTTTTTATCCCATTGGTATACATGTAGAGTATTTGGTACTACCTACTCTTTTCTATCCCATTGGAATACATGTAGAGTATTTAGTACTACCTACTTTTTTCTATCCCATTGGTATACATGTAGAGTATTTAGTCCTACCTACTCTTTTTACCCCATTGGTATACATGTAGAGTATTTAGTACTACATACTCTTTTCTATCCCATTGGTATACATGTAGAGGATTTAGTACTACTTACTCTTTTTATCCCATTGGTATACATGTAGAGTATTTGGTACTACCTACTCTTTTCTATCCCATTGGAATACATGTAGAGTATTTAGTACTACCTACTCTTTTCTATCCCATTGGTATACATGTAGAGTATTTAGTACTACTTACTCTTTTTATCCCATTGGTATACATGTAGAGTATTTAGTACTACCTACTCTTTTTACCCCATTGGTATACATGTAGAGTATTTAGTACTACCTACTCTTTTCTATCCCATTGGTATACATGTAGAGTATTTAGTACTACCTACTCTTTTCTATCCCATTGGTATACATGTAGAGTATTTAGTACTACCTACTCTTTTCTATCCCATTGGTATACATGTAGAGTATTTAGTACTACCTACTCTTTTCTATCCCATTGGTATACATGTAGAGTATTTAGTACTACCTACTCTTTTCTATCCCATTGGTATACATGTAGAGTATTTAGTACTACCTACTCTTTTCTATCCCATTGGTATACATGTAGAGTATTTAGTACTACCTACTCTTTTCTATCCCATTGGTATACATGTAGAGTATTTAGTACTACCTACTCTTTTCTATCCCATTGGTATACATGTAGAGTATTTAGTACTACCTACTCTTTTCTATCCCATTGGTATACATGTAGAGTATTTAGTACTACCTACTCTTTTCTATCCCATTGGTATACATGTAGAGTATTTAGTACTACCTACTCTTTTCTATCCCATTGGTATACATGTAGAGTATTTAGTACTACCTACTCTTTTCTATCCCATTGGTATACATGTAGAGTATTTAGTACTACCTACTCTTTTCTATCCCATTGGTATACATGTAGAGTATTTAGTACTACCTACTCTTTTCTATCCCATTGGTATACATGTAGAGTATTTAGTACTACCTACTCTTTTCTATCCCATTGGTATACATGTAGAGTATTTAGTACTACCTACTCTTTTCTATCCCATTGGTATACATGTAGAGTATTTAGTACTACCTACTCTTTTCTATCCCATTGGTATACATGTAGAGTATTTAGTACTACCTACTCTTTTCTATCCCATTGGTATACATGTAGAGTATTTAGTACTACCTACTCTTTTCTATCCCATTGGTATACATGTAGAGTATTTAGTACTACCTACTCTTTTCTATCCCATTGGTATACATGTAGAGTATTTAGTACTACCTACTCTTTTCTATCCCATTGGTATACATGTAGAGTATTTAGTACTACCTACTCTTTTCTATCCCATTGGTATACATGTAGAGTATTTAGTACTACCTACTCTTTTCTATCCCATTGGTATACATGTAGAGTATTTAGTACTACCTACTCTTTTCTATCCCATTGGTATACATGTAGAGTATTTAGTACTACCTACTCTTTTCTATCCCATTGGTATACATGTAGAGTATTTAGTACTACCTACTCTTTTCTATCCCATTGGTATACATGTAGAGTATTTAGTACTACCTACTCTTTTCTATCCCATTGGTATACATGTAGAGTATTTAGTACTACCTACTCTTTTCTATCCCATTGGTATACATGTAGAGTATTTAGTACTACCTACTCTTTTCTATCCCATTGGTATACATGTAGAGTATTTAGTACTACCTACTCTTTTCTATCCCATTGGTATACATGTAGAGTATTTAGTACTACCTACTCTTTTCTATCCCATTGGTATACATGTAGAGTATTTAGTACTACCTACTCTTTTCTATCCCATTGGTATACATGTAGAGTATTTAGTACTACCTACTCTTTTCTATCCCATTGGTATACATGTAGAGTATTTAGTACTACCTACTCTTTTCTATCCCATTGGTATACATGTAGAGTATTTAGTACTACCTACTCTTTTCTATCCCATTGGTATACATGTAGAGTATTTAGTACTACCTACTCTTTTCTATCCCATTGGTATACATGTAGAGTATTTAGTACTACCTACTCTTTTCTATCCCATTGGTATACATGTAGAGTATTTAGTACTACCTACTCTTTTCTATCCCATTGGTATACATGTAGAGTATTTAGTACTACCTACTCTTTTCTATCCCATTGGTATACATGTAGAGTATTTAGTACTACCTACTCTTTTCTATCCCATTGGTATACATGTAGAGTATTTAGTACTACCTACTCTTTTCTATCCCATTGGTATACATGTAGAGTATTTAGTACTACCTACTCTTTTCTATCCCATTGGTATACATGTAGAGTATTTAGTACTACCTACTCTTTTCTATCCCATTGGTATACATGTAGAGTATTTAGTACTACCTACTCTTTTCTATCCCATTGGTATACATGTAGAGTATTTAGTACTACCTACTCTTTTCTATCCCATTGGTATACATGTAGAGTATTTAGTACTACCTACTCTTTTCTATCCCATTGGTATACATGTAGAGTATTTAGTACTACCTACTCTTTTCTATCCCATTGGTATACATGTAGAGTATTTAGTACTACCTACTCTTTTCTATCCCATTGGTATACATGTAGAGTATTTAGTACTACCTACTCTTTTCTATCCCATTGGTATACATGTAGAGTATTTAGTACTACCTACTCTTTTCTATCCCATTGGTATACATGTAGAGTATTTAGTACTACCTACTCTTTTCTATCCCATTGGTATACATGTAGAGTATTTAGTACTACCTACTCTTTTCTATCCCATTGGTATACATGTAGAGTATTTAGTACTACCTACTCTTTTCTATCCCATTGGTATACATGTAGAGTATTTAGTACTACCTACTCTTTTCTATCCCATTGGTATACATGTAGAGTATTTAGTACTACCTACTCTTTTCTATCCCATTGGTATACATGTAGAGTATTTAGTACTACCTACTCTTTTCTATCCCATTGGTATACATGTAGAGTATTTAGTACTACCTACTCTTTTCTATCCCATTGGTATACATGTAGAGTATTTAGTACTACCTACTCTTTTCTATCCCATTGGTATACATGTAGAGTATTTAGTACTACCTACTCTTTTCTATCCCATTGGTATACATGTAGAGTATTTAGTACTACCTACTCTTTTCTATCCCATTGGTATACATGTAGAGTATTTAGTACTACCTACTCTTTTCTATCCCATTGGTATACATGTAGAGTATTTAGTACTACCTACTCTTTTCTATCCCATTGGTATACATGTAGAGTATTTAGTACTACCTACTCTTTTCTATCCCATTGGTATACATGTAGAGTATTTAGTACTACCTACTCTTTTCTATCCCATTGGTATACATGTAGAGTATTTAGTACTACCTACTCTTTTCTATCCCATTGGTATACATGTAGAGTATTTAGTACTACCTACTCTTTTCTATCCCATTGGTATACATGTAGAGTATTTAGTACTACCTACTCTTTTCTATCCCATTGGTATACATGTAGAGTATTTAGTACTACCTACTCTTTTCTATCCCATTGGTATACATGTAGAGTATTTAGTACTACCTACTCTTTTCTATCCCATTGGTATACATGTAGAGTATTTAGTACTACCTACTCTTTTCTATCCCATTGGTATACATGTAGAGTATTTAGTACTACCTACTCTTTTCTATCCCATTGGTATACATGTAGAGTATTTAGTACTACCTACTCTTTTCTATCCCATTGGTATACATGTAGAGTATTTAGTACTACCTACTCTTTTCTATCCCATTGGTATACATGTAGAGTATTTAGTACTACCTACTCTTTTCTATCCCATTGGTATACATGTAGAGTATTTAGTACTACCTACTCTTTTCTATCCCATTGGTATACATGTAGAGTATTTAGTACTACCTACTCTTTTCTATCCCATTGGTATACATGTAGAGTATTTAGTACTACCTACTCTTTTCTATCCCATTGGTATACATGTAGAGTATTTAGTACTACCTACTCTTTTCTATCCCATTGGTATACATGTAGAGTATTTAGTACTACCTACTCTTTTCTATCCCATTGGTATACATGTAGAGTATTTAGTACTACCTACTCTTTTCTATCCCATTGGTATACATGTAGAGTATTTAGTACTACCTACTCTTTTCTATCCCATTGGTATACATGTAGAGTATTTAGTACTACCTACTCTTTTCTATCCCATTGGTATACATGTAGAGTATTTAGTACTACCTTCTCTTTTCTATCCCATTGGTATACATGTAGAGTATTTAGTACTACCTTCTCTTTTCTATCCCATTGGTATACATGTAGAGTATTTAGTACTACCTTCTCTTTTCTATCCCATTGGTATACATGTCGGATTATTTTTGTACGACTAACTGTTTTCTATCTAATAGGCATGTACTGTAGGAGTGGTTAATACAAACTACAAACCAGGAGTATTTAGTACAGCCTACTAACAGTGGACTAGCATTGATGAGGTCTAATAAGACAGTAATTACATTGTTATCGCCAATGACGGAGTACTAATGTATCAATTAAGTACAGTTTTAAAGCTGTAGGACCTTTAATTCATAAACCAAAGAAAATACATGAATTAGATAAAAATATAAACAAACAAATGTATCACACTCATACAGAATCACATGTCTACAAATTGCTGTAAAGCAACAAGACGTTTTACAGGGTTGCTTACCTATTAATAATGAATACACATCATAAATACAATATTATACATACAAAAAATGTTTTGGTATTTGTAACGCCAACTTTTTTGATGCAGAGAGATTTATTTTGATTTAAATAGAATATGAAACATACTTTATAAGTGAATCATCAAATTGAATGGAGCAAAAGCCAAAATTACTCAAACTTGTTCAAAGTAATAACATCAAGCTATTCTGTGCCAGGTCTCACACTGACCTCACATTAATTACGATAATCAGGTGGCTGACTGATTTTCCAAATGCAGTTGTATAAGGATTGAAAAATATATATTCTTAACAGGCATCCTGGAATGTGAGTTATATATCATTTCTTGCATTAATCACAACAGAAAAAACTGCATTATTTCAGACTATTGTCAGAAGGGAGGCTCGCCTTTTTTGTGAAACTAATTAAAACTCCCGATAACCTTACCATTACGAAGGAAAGAAACATAACAAATGGCCTTAGATATAAAACATTCCCGTCCCCCAGCCATTGATTCAGCTGGTTTATATTGAGGATATCTAACAGTTTATGAGTTTCCAAATATAAACATTTAGATTTAGTCCAACAAGTTAAAAAAAACTAAACAATTCAAGTCACCTTGATGGCCCTTAATCTAGAACATACAGGATGACTGGTCAATATGTACAGGATGACTGGTCAATATGTACAGGGAGACTGGTCAATATGTACAGGGAGACTGGTCAATATGTACAGGATGACTGGTCAATATGTACAGGGTGGCTGGTCAATATGTACAGGTTGGCTGGTCAATATGTACAGGTTGACTGGTCAATATGTACAGGGAGGCTGGTCAATATTACAGGATGTACCAGTCAATATGCACAGGATGACTAGTCAATATGCACAGGATGACTAGTCAATATGCACAGGATGACTAGTCAATATGCACAGGATGAATGGTCAATATGCACAGATGACTGGTCAATATGCACAGATGACTGGTCGATGACTGGTCAATATGCACAGATGACTGGTCGATGACTGGTCAATATGCACAGATGACTGGTCGATGACTGGTCAATATGCACAGATGACTGGTCAATATGCACAGGAAGACAAGTCAACTTTACATGATGACTGGTCAATATGACAGGATGGACCAGTCAATATGCACAAGATGACTGGTCAATATGCACAGGATTACTAGTCAATATGCACAGGATGAATGGTCAATATGCACAGATGACTGGTCGATGACTGGTCAATATGCACAGATGACTGGTCAAGATGCACAGGATGACTGGTCAATTTGCACAGGATGACTGGTCAATTTGCACAGGATGACTGGTCAATATGCACAGATGACTGGTCGATGACTGGTCAATATGCACAGATGACTGGTCGATGACTGGTCAATATGCACAGGATGACCGGTCAACTTTACATGATGACTGGTCAATATGACAGGATGCCTGGACTACCTTCTCTTTTCTATCCCATTGGTATACATGTAGAGTGTTTAGTACTACCTACTCTTTTCTATCCCATTTGTATACATGTAGAATATTTAGTACTACCTACTCTTTTTACCCCATTGGTATACATGTAGAGTATTTAGTACTACCTACTCTTTTTACCCCATTGGTATACATGTAGAGTATTTAGTACTACCTCATCCTGTACATATTGACCAGTCTCCCTGTCAATATGCACAGGATGACTGGTCAATATGTACAGGATGACTGGTCAAAATGTACAGGTTGACTAGTCAATATTACAGGATGACTGGTCAATATTACAGGATGTACCAGTCAATATGCACAGGATGACTGGTCAATATGCACAGGATGACCAGTCAACTTTACATGATGACTGGTCAATATTACAGGATGACTGGTCAATATATACAGGGTGACTGGTCAATATGTTCAGGATGACCAGTCAATATGTACAGGGTGACCGGTCAATATGTACAGGAAGACTGTCAATATGTACAGGGTGACCGGTCAATATGTACAGGGTGACCGGTCAATATGTACAGGGTGACCGGTCAATATGTACAAGAAGATCTGTCAATATGTACAAGAAGATCTGTCAATATGTACAGAATGATCAGTCAAACAGGATAATCAGACAATATTACAAAATACTTGTCAAAATATACATTATGCAGGTTTTACTGTAAAAACTGTTACAGTAGATATAACTTTCTAGTATGTCTTAACAATATTATTGGGAATATATAATGTCACAGAGCGTTCTCGTTAAAAATAAACATTCAAAACAACCACTTCACATAAATATTATAACAGTCACATTAACAAAGTTTGGGAGTTGAGGTGCTACAAGGGCGTGCTTCACACAAATATACAACAAATTTTACAGGGATGAATATAGTCACAGTACTGTAGACAATTGTTCACTGCTGTTCATAACCTTTCAATGTTGAAGATACATGTTCATATAAAAAAAGTTAATGACCTTATACATATAGCACTCTTAAGGATCTTTATACCACTGTCAAAAACAGTACTATTGGAAACTTTATTTTGCATGATTACAGCTTTGATAAATCATTTTGAAAACCATACCTTCCGGGACTTTAATGAGAAATAATAAAGATGAAATAAACGAAATATCATCACCAACAGTGTGCCGAGTGTAAAAATTCAGTGGGGCTAGACTGGGTTTAGAACCCTGTGCTTAATATACAGAATAATATATACAGTAGTACTATCATTCTAACCGATTACCCTACCTGGTGATAGGAGGTATCCTTGCCCAACTGTGCTAGTCACTTATGGGGAGGTTACTGTATATAGGAAAAAAGGAAAAACCACTGTGTAGTGGGACAGGTATCCTTAAGCTATGCATGTTTTACCAAATAATGTTATGGGCTTATAACGCAAATTGCTATTGTTGACAAACTTAATGAAGCTCAGTTGGACTTTACATTAGCTTATCAGCAATAGGATCACAATTCCATTTTTGTTTAAACATACATTATTTATATTTTACACTTTGGAATTGTTTTGTTTTATTTAGTAACTACATGCTTCTAGCACCAGTTTATGATCTAAGTAAGTTGTTAGAAATGCAAAGTCAGGGTCGTCGCAATCAGACCGATGGCATCACACAGCGGGCACCAGACTAAATCCTGTTTTCCAAAAATAAACATAATCCATTCTTTTATGCATTTAATGCTAATGGAGGCAGAAGAGGAAATGTAAATATTAATGTATGTTCACCGTCTAATTGGGTATGACCATACCGTATTAAACACTTCGCAACAAATTTTATTTTGCAATTTTTCCTTTCCATAGTTGTCTTTAATTCTATTTTTGCAAACCATTTTATATTTGTCTTATTTATTATTTTACCAAGACTTATAACTGACAAAGGTATTTTAATTCCAAGGAATGTAGTGTTTTAATACAAATGATATTTTTCAGGCTATAAATTATTCATACTGTCATTAAACAGTAGTTGATTGCATTAAAATGATTATAGACAAATACGCAAACATACCACTTCAAGCACACATGCATACATTTCATAAATGGAGGCACCCCTGAAATTTCATAATGAACTATTCAAACCTTTGAACTGGAAGAGTTCAAATGTGTCTTCAGGGGTGGATGAGTTAAATAACCTAAGATGTTAACATGACACTAAACCTAACCAACTAATCAAACAAAACCTTTTTTATTTTATTTTTTCAAATATGGAAGGCTATTTTTTTTTTATATAATCACACTAATTTGATCAGATGAAAATTGAATATAAAATGTTTTATTCTACAATGTACTTAAGCTACAGCCAAACACTGTTAATTTTCAACTCACCAAGTTATTCAGTCGTTAATTACTAAAGGGACATAACTTTTAGTTATATAATCTTACAGAATATAAGCCAAGTAATAAGAACTAGGGAGCTAGGTCTAAAATATCAGCTTTGTAATACTGACAAGGGTAAGGAATAGTATTGATGGCCAAATATTTTTGTTAAAAAAATGATGAGTCCATTTAGATGGATTTATTTTTAATTTCAAATAATAACTGTAGATTTGTGGCATTTTGAAATATAATTGACAAGTAAAAAAGTATTTAAATCGAGATTGATCAAGGGAGATAACACACATAATGGCAAAAACAGTGAATTTCCCCATCAATTACATCAAGTCTTGTAGGACGTCCAAATTATATAATAATATTTCTAATTGTTGTAGACCAATCCTGTCGCTTTTTGTTGTCTAATTATTCAGATATAATTCAGACATGCTCATATTTGAATATAAACTTATTTTACCTGAATGTGCATTTCTCAACATTTTTCACTATTTCTGTGATTTTGGCATAATTTTGGTTGGTAAAGCATTGCCATTGGAGGAATCATTGATGATTGTCTTATTTAGTTATAGAAAAAAATGTACATTTCCCTAGCTTTGATAATTAGTCATTCATTTGCTTAACATTCAGAAATTTGGCCCAAAATTATATTTTTCTTGCCTAAATTAACATCATGATGAAAACATGAGACCACATAAGTATACACTGTTCATGTATTTGACTTCGATGTAGGTTTTATATCCATTACAACCTTATTTGCTTAGAAGGAGCTCTATGTGGGAAATAAAAGTTACGCGAGGGAGCTGAACACTTTTGGTTACAAGTCCAAAGTATCCAGAAGCGGGCTTGCAGGGGTTTGGGGATATACAAGAAGGTTAGGTTGAGAAAATGTTTGACACAAGTATGGAATGTTGTTGCTAGAGATGAGGAAGACAACAGATAGGGAGATATGGCCAAGGTCCAGGGGCACTACTTCACAGGATGCCTGACCGACTGCCCATCTCATTCCTGCTCGGCCCTCCACAACATTTCCTCTTCTGATTAGTGTCATTCAATTTAATAGAACTGGTATTCATTCTGGAGGTCAGCATATCCTCTGGAGGTAGCTGATGTGCTGAAAACGTATGCAGAGCAATCATTACGTGTGAAATGAAACACCTTTCTACGTTTAATTTCAAAACACCAATTAGTAACAGTAACATATTAACCAATGAAACTAGTGAGTTAAATATAGATAAATTTGTGGAAACATTATCTCATTGTACAATAATTCCCCTTTCGGTAAATGAAATTGACTGTACATAGAGGTTTCAATGCTTTCCTCACTTGCCTGTTTGCTTTATTAATAAAGACTTTAACCTTTCTTGATATTTAAATGTCCTGTAGGTTTTACCTATGTTTAGGTCTATTTGCCTATTTGCTAATTGAACCCCTCTTGATGTTTAAACTGTAAATGTAGGTCTCACCTATTTTTATGAAGAGGTCTGGCACATTTACCGCTGTCAAGGCACTCGTTTCTATAAAAATAGCATTCTTCTGTTGGGCGTAGTCTTGAACATCTGAAAATCAATACCAGGAACCATTTACAATTCTACAACAATTCCTGACTCATTGTTTACAAGATATCACAATGTGTTACACTTATTGTTGTGATCAATACTGTCCTTTTTGACCTGTGTAAATCATGCATGTCTTTCAGATCTGTCAGAACCAAACCTTCCCCCTTGACTGGTTAGTAGTACACTGGGCTCGCTGACTATTGACTAGTCAGCACCATGCCCTCCCAGTCAGCACTATGCCCTCCCAGTCAGCACTGTGCCCTCCCAGTCAGCACCAGGGCCTCCCAGTCAGCACCAGGCCCTCCCAGTCAGCACTGCGCCCTCCCAGTCAGCACCATGACCTCCCAGTCAGCACCATGCCAGCCCAGTCAGCACCATGCCCTCCCAGGCAGCACCATGCCCTCCCAGTCAGCACTGTGCCCTCCCAGTCAGCACCATGCCCTCCCAGTCAGCACTGTGGCCTCCCAGTCAGCATTATGTCCTCCCAGTCAGCACTGTTCCCTCCCAGTCAGCACTGTTCCCTCCCAGTCAGCACCATGCCCTCCCAGTCAGCACTGTGCCCTCCAAGTCAGCACCATGCCCTCCCAGTCAGCACCATGCCCTCCCAGTCAGCACTATGCCCTCCCAGTCAGCACTGTGCCCTCCAGGTCAGCACTGTGCCCTCCCAGTCAGCACTGTGCCCTCCCAGTCAGCACCATGCCCTCCCAGTCAGCACTGTGCCCTCCCAGTCAGCACTGTGCCCTCCGCGACAGCACCATGCCCTCTCAGTCAGCACTATGCCCTACCAGTCAACACCATGCCCTCTCAGTCAGCACCATGCCCTCCCATGTTATTATTGACCAAGCTTGTGCCTTCTTTTTTGGCACTAGGAAAAATTCTGTCATTTCCAACTGTTCACACAGTTCTATATCTACTTTCATGTTGACACTACGAGTAAATACATACCTTTGTAAGGTACCTCCCTAAGATCCTCAAGGTCACACTTATTACCAGCAATTGCTAACACTATGTCTTGCGCCGCATTCTTCCGTAATTCACTGACCCACTCTTTCACAGCTCGGAATGTTTGCTGGTTGAAAACGGAATATAAATGACATGGTTATTTGATAACTGGTGTGACATATCCATTGGATGTAGTTAATAACTATGACACAGGGTTTTCGTTTCATTAATCATCTAAACTAAGTCTTTTCCTAATTTAACAGGAGAAAGAGAAATGCAATGGCCAGACCAGGGTTCAAACCCGGGAACCTTCAAACTCTAGACCTTCGAGTGCTCTTCCAATTGAGCTACCTGGTTGTCAGTAATCGTCCCAGTCAGATCCTATACATTCCTATCTCCTTTTTCTAAGTCTTCGCCCCTGAAGACACAACTATTTACAACTCAGGTTCAGATATCCCCTTGCTAAGCATTCAATCAGTGCTTGAAACAAGGTTTCGCAAGCTCACCTTCGAACTCTAAACAGACACTCTACCGATTGAGCTATCTGGTTGTCGAGGATGGACCCGGTCCAGTTCCACCACACTAATTTTCTCCATAAGAAAATCATTATGAAATAAGGGAACAGGACCAGTGTACACTTTGACAAAAACCTAATTAACTTTTATGCTTTAATATATGAAAATGTCAATATTTTCTCACTGATGAAAGGCAAAATACTGATATGGTTTCTAAACTTCATATTTTGTATAAGAAAAAAAATGATAAAAATCTTAAAAAATGTAAATCTGATAATTTAGCACCACAGGTGATTGTATTTATCATTTTATTTTTTATTTTTATACCAAACAAACCAATAAGTATGACATGACCATATCTATAAACTTCCACTTTTAGTCCCTAAATTCAATATTTTAATATCGAATGCTGGAGCACTTACCTCCCTTGTAATGTCATAGACCACAATGGCTGCTGCTGATCCTCTGTAATACATTGGTGCCAGTGCTCTGTACTGTCAACACAAAAACAATGCTACGTGAACATATGTACATATTGTATTTCATGAAAACAAGAGGCCATAGGGCTGAAACACATAGAATTGTATACTCAATTAGCTGACATGAAAGATGTTGTAGTGAATTAGAGGCCAGACTTGAAAAGTGACATGGTTAATGACCATTAATTTTCCCAAATAAACCATATTAGGAACAATATTCAAAAACTCTGGTTTTCATTATTCCCCATTAACACTAGTAAGGCAAGCTAATTAAAATTGGGGGTATTGAAATTACAATTCTTCATGCATTGTTTGTGAAAAATTTCACAACAAAATCAAGTATTATTTTTATAAGGGTTACCTCCCTTCCCTCACTAATGATAAGTACCCACCTTTTCCTGTCCAGCTGTGTCCCAGATTTGGAAGGCATAGTGTTTGCCATCCACTTCTACTCGCTTGGTCATAAACGAGGCACTATAAGCATAAAGTGGATTCATAACGACTTAAAAAAACAAAGGTAGTATGTAAAACAGATACCTGAATCTTTAGGAAATGCTTAAGATAGTTCTCCTTGGCTTTTTATTAAACAGTTTTTTGTCTACATAATATAAAAAAAAAAAAATTGAAAATACTTGACAAACCATGCAATTTTAGATGCAGAAATATTAGCATGTATCAAAGCTTGGAATAGCTTGGCAAGTACACACACACACATATTTATTTATGTTTAAGATCTGCCTCAAACCCTTTTTAACACACAATGTTTTTCTTTGAACCTGGCAATTATATTCACTGCTGGTTTACACACGATTTATTTATCTATAAATAACTATTATCCCATCTCCTTAACCAGGGTGCATAATAAGGAATTGCTGGTACAAATTTCCATGACATTTAAACCTGTTTTTTTTATAATAATTTGGTCATATATTGCAGAAAAAAATGAGTTAAAATAACAGTTGAGTATTATTGTTTACCAACCGCATTAGTTGCTAGAGTCAATAGCTTACACTCAAGATTTAAGTAATAATTGTTTTAAAAGTATGGATATAGAGTGACACACAGGAGTGGTTAGACCTTACCCTATGGTGCTCTCCAGAGCAGGTCGGAATTGATCTTTGACAAACCGCTGCACAATACTGGATTTCCCCACTGCAGCTTCCTGTAAATGTTCAACTCTTAATTTGAAAACTGAGCTCTTAAAACTCTTACATGTAAAGTTTATGCATTGTATACATGTACATCATAGTCAACTTATATAATTACTAGAATCGCCTACAGGGAATTTAAATCAGCATCAACCCTCCCTCACTTTTACCAAAATGAACCCGTCTCCATTGAAACTTCCTTATTCAAGTCCAAATTCACACAAACTCAAAATCTACATTCTGTGGTCAAATGATTTTTAGTCCAACACATTTCACACACTTTCTCCCTCATTGGAAATGTAGAATGAGGGAGTCTGCCTCATTGGAGGTTTCAGATGCTGATAACTACATTGTATGTTACCATTACCAGACAGACTTAGATACTCAAATTCCAGTATATTACACTGTACTGTACTTTGTTTCAGCTCGAGTGAATTCTTTTTAACTGACAGCAGTAGATCGCCCAGCTGGAAAGGCAGTGGTACGTGGCCTGTTTAATCTCAAGTGAATGAATATATTCTTTCAAGGATTACCTAATTCCTACCACACTTAAAATATTGTTTGAACTGTTGTAATCCTTATATATTTTAAGATTTCACAGATGGTAAATATGGTATTTGATAAGAATATTCTTTATGAAAATCAGGTGAAAATAAGACACTTTGAGTGAGAAAAAGTTTAAAATCAACACATTTCATGTGAGTAGAATGTGTAACAGTACGACATCATAGTAAATGCTGACAAAGGTTTCAGGCTCAAGAGATCACATGACATTTTTTTTTTAAATGTAAGAATACCTGACTTAAATGTGAATATAGGAAGAAAAATAACTAATATATCAGTTCACTAGAGTAGATATATACACTCTCCTCTATGAATAAGTAACAGTCAATTGAATAAATACATGTAAATTAAGATGACATATTTAATTAAGAAACAGCTTAACAGGAAATGATTTCTAAGTCTAAGATACAAAGATAAAGAAAACGCTTACGCCCAGCAGGCATAGTTTCACTTCCCTCACTGCCATAGCTTACGTCACCGGGGAGAGAAATTCGCTCATAATAACTTGGAGATTCAGTAAAACATTATTCAAGTCAATACTTCCATAGATTTCTAACCACATTTGTCCTATGCTGAAGGTAACCACACGGGGTCCGCCATATTGATTCAAGTATGTTCTACACTTCAGATAGGTCACATGATCATCACGTGATTTTTACAAATGGCGGGAATTTCAAAGTGAATGCAGAAAATCAATAGCCTATAACTAGGCCTATCGCCTCCGTTTTTTTGAGGCAGATACCTTTGACCTAATGAGATAGACAAAAGAAGACATCTAGTGTAAGCATTGAAGACATTATAATGATAATAATAATATACTCAGGACATAAAAATAATAACAAATTAGATTAGATGTTTATAAGTCCGTGATAATATATAGAAAAAAAGTATTATTGAACTTACCACAGGTTATTTCTGTGGGAAACGTCAATATTAACGGAGGAAGGTTATCAGATGAAGAAGTCGACTGGGCGGTGATTTTGGCAAAGCCTACTAAGGTAAAATATCGTGAAAGATGAAAGTTGTTCGGCTAATACAAACAATACTACAAGGATATTTATATTTTCATTGACCTAACATTGTTGACGTTTTGCTATTTTTTTTCTATTTTCAATGAGGATTTCATGAGGATAAGGAATTCGGAGAATATGTCATTTTGGGAAACGCGGTTAGCTTAGCTTTGAAGGATGGAACACTTTAATCTGAGTGACCCTTTTACTGTATATGTTCATATTTAGGGGATACATGGCTGAACTAAAACAGTTCCGGAATTAGCTGCGTAGGAAGGTTCACTGCATTAGCGGAAGTTTTACAGCATGCAACCACACATCACCCGGACATTGCCGTTCAATACAGATCTTTAATTTGGTATTTCATGAAATAACAGGGAAGTAAATGTATCAACCAAAACTTCTTTCATATATATCATTGGGGGTGTCATGTTTACCGAAAGTCAATCTAAACCCCTAAAACATGCAAAATTACTCTTAACATCTTAGTTTAGGTCCAAATTTTGCTGTAACAAATTCTCAGGTCCCTGTGGCTGCGATCTGTTCGTGTTTGTCTCCATGTGATAGCGCGGAGCTGATGCTGACTTTATAGTGATACCCCACTGAAACATACTGCCGAAGATACCCAGCAGGACACCCCACCCAGTCACATTATACTGACAACGGGCGAGCCAGTCGTCATACTCCTAAATTGCTGAGCGTTAAGCAGGAGTAGAAACTGCCATTTTTACAGACTCTGGTATGTCTCGGGCAGGGGATAGAACCCAAAGCCTTCCTCGCAGGGGCGAACGCTCAACTAAGGCCAAAAGTGAGGCATGGTCAGGGGAGACAAGAGGAAGAAGAAAGTTGTTTAGAAAGAAGAGAAAAGATAAGATCCCAAATTTAGTCGCCTCTTACGATCATACACTGGGGGCAGCAGGTACAATTCTTACGCCCTTCCCGCAGGAACTCATTTGAAACACGCACAGTGGAGCATTATTTTCCCGGCCACACGGAATTTTGAACTTCAAACATTTGTGTATGCCTCATCACATGTGTTAGTAATTTCTGTGTAGTATAATTCTGCAGTTTTCATGATTATGTAACTAGAAGTGTTAATTTATGGCATTATGAATTCAAGTGTTAAACCGCAAGTACATTACAGAAAATTGACAATAAATTATTAAACAAGATTTTAACCCATTTACGTGTTGACAACTACCATTGTTTAAAAACAAGTAACCTAATGTTGTAATACGCACGTATGTCGTGTGACAGCTACATATGTGTGACCATAGACAGCTACATCTGTGTGACAAAAGACAGCTACATCTGTGTGAACATAGACAACTACATCTGTGTGACCATAGACAGCTACATCTGTGTGACCATAGACATCTACATATGTGTGACCATAGACAGCTACATCTGTGTGACTATAGACAGCTACATCTGTGTGACAATAGTCACACAGATGTAGCTGTCTATGGTCACTCAGATGTAGCTGTCTATGTTCACACAAATGTAGCTGTCCAAGGTCACACAGATGTAGCTGTCTATGGTCACACAGCTACATCTGTGTGAACATAGACAACTACATCTGTGTGGCCATAGACAGCTACATCTGTGTGACCATGGACAGCTGCATTTGTGTGAACATAGACAGCTACATCTGTGTGACAATAGACAACTACATCTGTGTGACCATAGACAGCTACATCTGGGTGACCATAGACAGCTACATCTGTGTGACAAAAGACAGCTTCATCTGTGTGAACATAGACAACTACATCTGTGTGGCCATAGACAGCTACATCTGTGTGACCATGGACAGCTACATTTGTGTGAACATAGACAGCTACATCTGAGTGACCATAGACAGCTACATCTGTGTGACTATAGACAGCTACATCTGTGTGACAATAGTCACACAGATGTAGCTGTCTATGGTCACACAGATGGAGCTGTCTATGGTCACACAGATGTAGCTGTCTTTGGTCACACAGATGTAGCTGTCTATGGTCACGCAGATGTAGCTGTCTATGGTCACACATATGTAACTGTCACACGACATACGTGCGTATTACAACATTAGGTTACTTGTTTTTAAACAATGGTAGTTGTCAACACGTAAATGGGTTAAAATCTTGTTTAATAATTTATTGTCACACAAATGTAGCTGTCGATGGTCACACAGATGTAGCTGTCTATGGTCATACAGATGTAGCTGTCTATGGTCACAAAGATGTAGCAGTCTATGGTCACACAGATGTAGCTGTCTATTGTTACACAGATGTAGCTGTCTATGGTCACACAGATGGAGCTGTCTATGGTCACAAAGATGTAGCTGTCTATGGTCAAACAGATGTAGCTGTCTATGGTCACACAGATGGAGCTGTCTATGGTCACACAGATGTAGCTGTCTCTGGTCACACAGATGTAGCTGTCTATGGTCACAAAGATGTAGCAGTCTATGGTCACACAGATGTAGCTGTCTATTGTCACACAGATGGAGCTGTCTATGGTCACAAAGATGTAGCTGTCTATGGTCAAACAGATGTAGCTGTCTATGGTCACACAGATGGAGCTGTCTATGGTCACAAATATGTAGCTGTCTATGGTCACACAGATGTAGCTGGCTATGTTCACACAAATGTAGCTGTCTATGGTTACACAGATGTAGCTGTCTATGGTCACCCAGATGTAGCTGTCTATGGTCACAAAGATGTAGCTGTCTATTGTCACACAGATGTAGCTGTCTGTGGTCACACAGATGTAGCTGTCTATGTTCACACAAATGCAGCTGTCCATGGTCACACAGATGTAGCTGTCTATGGCCACACAGATGTAGTTGTCTATGTTCACACAGATGTAGCTGTCTTTTGTCACACAGATGTAGCTGTCTATGGTCACACACATGTACCTGTCTATGGTCACACAGATGTAGCTGTCTAATGGTCACATAGACAACTACATCTGTGTGACCATAGACAGCTACATCTTTGTGACCATAGACAGCTACATCTGTGTGACCATAGACAGCTACATCTGTGTGACTATAGACAGCTACATCTGTGTGACAATAGACGAAGACACTAACGAAATAAGGACAAAATACACGAAACTGAACCAAAGTGTAAATACAAACGGGATCGAGCATGGGCGACCAGGTAGCTCAGTTGGCAAGCGTCCTGTCTTGAGTTCCCGGGTTCGAGTCCCGGTCTGGCCCTTTCCTGTTACATGTATGATATATATTTCTCAATGTTGTTCAACCAATCGTATCAGTCGGTTACACGTATTATTTAAAATAGGTATGTTAAGAAATGGAGAAATTTTTCAAGGATATGTATTAGGACAAATTCTTTCTATATTATTGTTTTAATTATAAAATGATACAACGGATAAACCATGTTAGTTTCTAGACTATTTGCAGACCGAAAACTTCCATTTTGTCTGGTAGGTCGCCAAAAAGTAAACAATGAAAATTATTATCCCTGAAAGTGGTAACTTTTAATTGAAATTTCCTTATACATCTCAAACCTTTATTTCTTCTTTTGTTTCCCATAAATATATAGTTTAAGCATTTGAATATAGCGCCCGATGCCTTGGGCCCACCAAACAAAATTACTTGTGATGTTTTATCGTCGATTGGTAATTCACTGTTTACATTTTGTGGGGGAAAAAGTACTTTTTCATTTCTACAAATTACAGCAATATGATTTGGGACAAGTTATGACAACATTTTTAACGTCTTTTTCAAAAACAAATAAAGTTTTCTTGCGAGATTATTGGTAATCCGGGTCGATACGAAAAACGGAAAATACACCGGAGACGGAGGACACATTGCAATCATAATACGATCAAAACGTGAATGTTTTATGTTTGTGATGATGGAACAAGCTATTTCGAAGTTTATGGTTCACAGGCTGACAGGCAAGAAATTTCCCCATGACTGTACGATACTGAACCTACATGTATAATGCGCATGATATAGCGAAGTATATATCAACAAGGCAAGTTTTTTTTCAGTAATTCCAAACTCCTTTATCCTTCCAGCTCTTATTAGTTTTACACATTTTGAAAGAAAAGAACATTCTAAAGAATCCAGTGATAAAGGAGCCAATGTTCCCCGGACAAGAATAGCCGGACAGATACAGATGATATCTGTCAAAATAGCTGTTACATTACAAACGACATTTACACTCTTACGTATAGCTTTACAAAGCTGGATGATTACCGCTAAGAAAATGATAACCTGACTCAATTAAGGCCGCCTGGTAATTGGGACAGCATCACGTGACAACCTAGTCCGTGTATCAATAACAACGAATTAAGTGGACCAATTTTTTGCGGACAGATGGGCGTTCACCACAGAATTGGCGTTACAATCACATTACGTAGAAAAACGGTATTAAAGCTACACTTGCTGTGTTCTATGTTTTTATTACAAGATATCAAACGGGTCTGATTGATCGGGTCTTTGTTTGGAACCCACAGAAAAACGGTTATGATATTATGATGAAGATTATTTACATAAATTAGCAAAACTGTTTAATAACATTATTGGTTCTGCGGTTTTAGAATTTAATTAGGATGTTCCAAACTGAGCAATGAGCCGACATGTTTTTCAGTATCAGGAATCCCTGATAGGGCTAATCGGTTCTTTGTCAGCCCGTCACAGATCTGACCAGATCCCCCACCGTCATATATGGATTTAATTACACTTTGCGGTCGAATATGACAACATTGCATTATATAAAAACCACAGTCTTGTGACGAGGTGAGATAAGGAACCTCGACCCCCGATAACAATGCGGAGGCCCGTCTGACGAGAATTACTCCATCCCCTATACCCGTCCCAACTAAGCGCTACCACTTTTCAATGTCTCTGATATTACATGTAACTTTTGTTATTAGGCTATGTAAAAGGGTTTTAATTGTGATCAGTATTATGCTATCCTTAAGTTATGTAAATGTCCTCTGGATAGGGTCGTTGTAATGATGTAATAACTTGTCCATTTGTTTTATCGGTGGAATAAGATATGTTCAAAAGATAAAAAAAAAAAAAAGATAAAAAAAAAAAGAAAAAACCCACACAACATCACCCTCATCTCTCTTCTTGTCCTCTCTCACTCAGTCTAACACTTCCTTTCAATTCCCCTCTCTCAGTCTAATCTGATCACATAAAATAATATTTATTTATATATATAAAATATAGCCTTTACATAAGTTCACAAAACTATATGCTAGAATGAGAACCACAAAATAAAAACATGTCATTATACCGTTAGCATTATTACAAAATACATATTAAAGTCAACGTCTACAAACATATTCCATATGCACAATACACTTTTGCAGCTATTCAAAATTGTACATGTATTTGGAAACAAAATGAAAGAAATAATATTAATAAAAGAAAAAATAGAAAAGTGCACAGGTCAAACTCGGAACTTGTCTCCTCCCGACCATACACGTACTATCCAAGAACGGTTAATGCTCAACATCAAAATGAAATATCAATACTTTGCCAATTGCAAGGACAATAACTCTAAGCAAACAAAATTATTTGATGCTGTTTTACGTTAAATATAATCAGGTCTGAAGCAGGAACTCTTCCTCGCGATCATAAATGGTACCATTTACCTTAAGTCGCTTTTCAGTACATACTTAGTCGATTCTCTGATACAATGTAACACAAGCTAGATTTCTGTGTTCTATATGTAGCGGAACTTGACTGGGTCGATCGTCGGCAACCAGGTAGCTCAATTGGTAAAGCGTCCGTCTAGAGTTAGGAGGGTTCCTGTTTCGAACCCCAGTCGGGCCGTGCATTTTCCCGCTCCTGTTACAATTGGCCCCAACGAAATATACCCAAAGGTAGGTGGTATACAGTCTCGTGTGTCTCCGTGGTCGAAGACTTTGTTAAAGGTGGGAGGAATGCAGCAGAACTAGACCGGGTCGATCGCCGGCGACCAGGTAGGACAACTGGTAAGCATCCGTCTACAGTTCAGAGGGTCCCGAGTTCGAACCCTGGTATGGCCGTGCATTTTCCGCTCAGGTTACCATGAAGGTATTGTCAGGAATAATAACAAAACGTCTATTGTTTTAAGGACAAGACCTACCGGCACATTACCTTAACGGATATTCAGTATCAGCACATGCAGTTCCATACGCTGGTGTTTCAGGTTTAGAAATGATGATATACATTTTATTTTCATTATTTCAGGATCCAAGTACAAGTATTTGTCTGTTTACGAGCCAATTATTGACCTGGTACCGAGTAGTTGTATGGAATGTCAAAGTTGTGGTATCTGTTGGCAATGATATAATACTAACATTTATTGGTAACGGAATTAACATCAGAGTTCAATTTTAGTAAAAATGGAAATACACATGGTGTCTTACACAGTTTCCCGTTTCATATAAGATTCAAAAACAAAGTTTGCCAATTTTTCATTCTAGCAAGTTTCTCAGCTGGCAAGCTAAATGTTTTAAAATCGTGACGTGTTCATAAATCTAAGTGCAGATAGAGACAAATTAATTAACGATCATTTTGGTCACACGATCAAGAAATTGATAAAGGACAACTTTAGAAAATTTCTCACATGTCGACTATACAACCTATAACAATGACTTGAATTTTGAAAAATGGCTTTAGTATTACTCCTACTACTGCTGTGTATCATTAAAATAAATATCCTATTTGATAACCGTATTATTTCGACTTTCAAGATGAATACTACCGTTCAAGCTGTTGAAGGTTGTCTCCCTTCCTATGTACATATTGTCCAAAGTTATAACAAGTACAGCAAGCAAAAGTATTACTTTGCCGTTTGAAAGGAATTATTTTACATGTAGAACATGACGT